AACAGATAATGAACTGGTGTCTCTTCTCTGCTACAAACTGCAGACTCATTCTGCTGAACGCCTTTTCCTCTGTCATACAACTGGTTCTGCAATCCTGCATTGCTCAATATAATTCATAGTGTTTCAAAGTTTGTGATGACCAGAGGAGTGCCATTTGTCAGTTGACTTAAACCCACTTCCTGTTGGTGTTAACAATGAGCTCACAGAATGAGAAGATGCAGTGCTGGGCAATAAAATAAAACTATTTCGATAATTTAATGAGAAACAGAAAATACCAATAAGAATGTAAGGTTAGGCCTTTGGCCTTAACAGGTAGTCCATGGGGCCACCATTATTTAAGCATTTCTACAAGGTAAAGAAGAGACTGCAAATATCAGCATGGACTTGATCTGCTTCACTTCCTGGTGGCACCCAGACATATTCACACTTCAAATTTGTGCATCAATACGTTTCCTATAGAGAAGGTGTCAATATTAATCTATAAAATTCAACAATTCTGAAAGGTATTTGGTGTATAGTTTGTGATATTTTTTTCAAAATAAAATGCAGCAGTTATTATTGTTTAATTAATTAATATTTATTTGTTCTTTAAATTCATATTGAAACAGAACCTTTGCTAGAAACTGAACTTTTAATTTGAAACCATATTGTGATAATTATCAAAAGGATTCTACAAGAAAATCAACATAGAGAAAATGTTTATGCATTAGAACTCCATGAATAAATATCTTACCAACTGATACTGAGCACTTAAATTATATTGCATTGAATTTAGTAATAGTCAAAAATGGAATATGTGTTTGCATTCAACTCTACAACTGGACCGTAAGAAAACAGCATGTATTAACTTAGTTCATGCAATCCGTAAAGTAACTTGGAGCACAGAAATCACGCAATACACCGGTATTGTCATTATAACTGTTCTTCACCGAACAAGAAGACAAACCGAAATTAGACTACACTTACCTGAACAGGCAGGTCATCAATTCATAAATATCAAAAGCTACAATCACTCAGAAGTCTGTGTATGTACTCACTGCAAATTTCCAAATCTTCTTATTCTCGGTTTACTATGCAAACACGTCAGTGCAGCTGGTCATTTAGTCACAGAAGACACTCGCAACAGGATAGCGTGTTATCAACCAGGACGTTCTGAGTTGTCCTTTAATAACACGCCTTTTGCAAACAGGTGCAGTACATCATATGTACATAGCAATGTTCAGTCACCGCAATAAACTAAAACAGACATTGCACATAGCGGTTCATTAATAAATATACTGGCAAACGTGAAGTTTGCAACGTATTCAAGCGTTATTTCTGTTCACACTTATGAGTGAGTCTGGTTAATGTTAGCAATTTTCTGGCTTTAACTGAAGGAATTGAGGAGTGCCTCAACATCTCTGACGCTAAGCAAAGGAAACTGGTGTCAAACAGCACTGAGAGAGACACACAGGGGTTAGTTTATGATTGATGAGAACATTTTACAGCTAGTTAGTGAATTATTATTGAGGAGAACGCTAACGTTCACTGGTTGTTTGCAATCAGCTGACAGCTCAGCTTACCTGTCACAAAAGCTTCTCGCAGCTTCTTTGGCTCCTCTTGGCTTCCAGCGGCGTTAATGACCAAGAGCTTCCCCGGGAAGAAGCGGTTTTATGCCGGCTGTTTACCGCGTTTATTTCAAAAGAGGAAAACACTTGAAATTACAAAGTCATTTACACTGCTAGCCTAACTCTACGTACCCTTTTCCTCCATGTTTTCCACGTCGCAACCCATTGCGTAATGACGAAATATGAGTGATAATCTCTACGTACGTGACGTCGACCGTTCGTAAACAGATGCGGGTTTCTGTTTAACGAATGTTCTGCTTTTAAGATTTATATGTCAACATTTCTTCAATATAACATAAACAAATCAATTTCTTTTTCCTTTAACGTTTTGAATTTGTACTAAACGTAATGTAATGGAAAGTGTATATCTATTTTAAAGAAAACTTAATGATCTCATATGCCTCGTTCTCTCCTAAATATACACCTTATTAGTAACAGAGTCCACTCAAAATTCAATCTTAAATATTTTTGGCCTTCGCAGATGGTTTTATGCATACAGAAGGAAGGAGATTATCTGTTTAGATGACACCATGATGTAACATTTAGGGCTTCCTGCAAAATGCTTATATAGCCCTGAACACAGCATCCCCACAGTAATACACACTAATATCATCTTGCAGAAAGGCTTTTCTTCATTTTCAATCATTTGTCAGTAGATGTCCACATGCAGCAAAACGTAGAGTGAAACGCAGTTCTACAAAGTGACTAATTCAAGTGGGAACAGAAATTCAATCTCTACATTTTGATTATAAATTGTGTCATTAGTGTAACAGACATAATACATAAGCTTTTTAGCAGACTGAACTGAAAAGTTTTCACAATAACATCTTAAAATAGAATATACAGTTTTGCAGGAAATGCAATAATTGTGATTTATGACAATGATGTCTAGTAAGTCAGTCATTGCTTTAATTCATTTTTATTTAAATTCAAATCAAAAAGTACTGTACATTTCTTTTTAATAACTATGAACACAAATGGTTACCAACAAAACATTTACAATCTGGTTCTTTTATGCTTTATAGCACTTGTTCAGAAAATATATTTATCAAAATGTTATTAGCTTTTTTTAAATAATTTGCATCAAATATTGTCACCAAACCACAATGCTAATTTTTTTTTATTGAATGACGAATCAGCTTTTATTTATTACAACTAGACTGGATTCATATCTTATTTGTAAGAAAACCATATGCTCAAAGTATGTTTAAAGGAACAAATGTCTTCCATATAAATAACTTTTATTTTCTTTACACTTTGAAAATGGACAATCGATTACAATCAGCTAAAAAAGGAGGATCGATATTTAGCCAGTTTTGAGTAACATCACTACAACAACCATTTTATTTCTATAAATGAATCTATGCTGTGATGTCTTTGCAGCAATTTCTGCAGAAAGGTAGAGTAGTTAAAGTGGCAGTCCAGGCTTGAAATAAATATGCATTTACTGTATTTGAAAGCTTTCTTTCATCCTTAGTTTCATTAAAGTGCTTTAATCTGTTTCATTCGAACAGCAATAAAAAAAAAAAACAGAATACACAATGAAGCTACCTCAGCCAGATGAAAGAAAAACTAAAAACAAGCTTCGAATAGCTTTATAGTCACATTATTTGAAAAAGACTGAATGTTTTCTTTAAATGATACCATAGGAATATTTGTAGTCATTGTTAATAGGAAGTAGTGGCAGCATTCAGTCTGTCTTCTTATCAGCGGCTATAGTAGCTCCATTTGCAGTCACCTCACCATTGCTTTGAGGCTGAAACACAGAAATTTGTTTTTGTAAGTGAGGCAGTTAATAAATATAACACAAGGTTAATTTTTACTTTAACGATTTAGTGAACCTTAAAATAGTTCACTAAATTCTTACCTTGTAAGTCCCATTACTATTTTCGCTGCCTTTCTGATCAGTGTTTGTATCCGTCACAGCTTTTTTGTTCCAGAACGCATTAATGAAGGGTGAAATAACAGGATAGATGATGGGTTCCAGGAACCTCTTATACACCCACAACAGGACAGGAATCACAATGCAGGGAATGCACACCATGGTTGTGGTTCACACAGGTGGACTAGACAAAGAACCCAAGGGAGAGAAAAGGACAAAAAGTACAAGTTACTAACTTGATATTCAATGAAATATTTCACCAATTTAAACTGAGTAAGGTAAGTAAAGGACAGACATTTCTAAGCCTGATTACAATGACAGATTACAACAATGGATCATCTTTCATTGTGCTTTGAAGTTGTTTTATATATAAGATTAATTTTACTCATACAGTGAGTTCTAGTTTTAAGGCTACATAGTTTTATTAAATGTCATTGTCTCATCTGTAAAAGCAGCAACTCCTCTGACAGTGGGCAACAAAATGAGACAAGTTATCTTTCTTTAATAAGCATTTTTTTTTCTCCCCATTTCCGATAAAGACATCTAACACATTTTATGTTAAAAAGCCAATTTGATGACATGCCAAAGCTTTACGATATAATCTATGAAGTAACCTACACGGGTTAAAATGTATTCACAGATTACATGCTGCTTGTTTTCACAGAGCTTAAGCACCTTTTTAGAATACAGTTTTCAGTATACAGTTAAATCTGTATTTGTTAAATATCAATGATGAAGGTAAAACTTTAACAAATTTGCTTAGAGATCAGCTCATCCCCTAAATAGGCAGTGGTTAAGCAGATGAGATAATATCTAAGCCATTACAAGTAATTTTTCAATGTTTTTTGAGACGTAGTCATTTAGCTTAGGCCCATTTAAAAAGACTTACTGTATATCCTGATGAAAAAAGTGACCAAGTTCCAATTTAAATGTACTACAATTAATTAGATTAAGCTGAATAAACCGAATTGAGTTCGGCTCAACATAAGATAACACGACTTGGGTCTGTTTGCTACATTACATTTATTTATTTATTTTTTTTTTTTCGTTCACAACAAAAAAAAACTTTAACGATAACTGACATACACATAGCTGTGCTATGTGTATAAAGGATTTATCATGGGGTTTAATGACTTAAATTCATAACAGCCCGTTTAACGTAAGTCACGCTGGTAAAAAAAAAAAAAAAAAAGGAGCGGAAAAACCTTCATTTTAAACTGTTTATAGTTATTTTAACCCTAAGAATGTACCCGGTGGCTAGGAGACGTTAGCTTCCGGGGTTAACTCTGTGGTAAACGAGATACATTAAAAGGCTAAGGGCTACCAAAGATTCCCTCCTAATTAAAAGTAAAAACTCTTACCTGTATAAGTCAAATACTAAAACACTGGTGTTGTCAAGTACTGTCGGCGAAGTAAGCGTGAATATCTGTAAATTTGTTGCGACTGAGCGAACTCTCTGGAACGTGATGTTCGAACACCAATCCTACTTCCGTTAGAGGTGGATGACGAAAGCGGAAACTACTCGCCAGCGGGCGCGTTGGTATTTCTTTAAAACGTTTGTTGTTTTTTCTGCAGACTTCTAACTTTGTGAGTGACTGATGATTGCTTGTAAGTTCTACATATTTGTCTTCTTATGTCATGCGCTGTATTTTGGAAAATATAATGTCTGCAAGTTAACGTCGCAGCGGTGTTTTGTTTTGTAATTGTTACACAGTGACATATTTTTAATGACTAAGCATACTAGCTAGCAAACGGAAAACAATAATTTAATTGGGTATGATACACCTTTCCTACAAAAATCTAGGACGACCTATGATGCTTAACTTTTGTAGTAAATCATAAACATTAATAACCGAAATTTTATGTTGCATTTTTAATTCACCTGTTCATTAAGCTAAACATTTTTGTTTTTATTACAATTTTTTATTGAGGAGAATTACGCAGGAAGGAAATGTCCAGGAAACTAAAAAAAAAACTGAAATTAACCAAAAATTATGGTACCAATCACAAAAGCTGACAATATATGAGATCATGTGGTCTATTATGTGCATTTGTGTTGCAAGTGTTAACAAATATATTCATTTATTTTGTGCCTTTTTTGTTTGTTTGTTTGTTTTCCAGCCCCACAATGCCTCTGTCCACGCAATCTCAAAGTCAAGATGAACAGTATGTTCTGGTAGCCAATTTGGATAACGCTCGCAATCTCTCCAACATCCTGAAAGCCATCACCTGCAAGGACCACGCCGTCTTCACAGCGACAGCAAACGGCCTGAAGGTCACAGTGGAGGACTGCAAATGCATGCAAGCCAATGCCTTCATTCAGGTCATTTTTATCAAGCATTTAGAGAAGCAAAAAAAAAAAGTTTTTTCTGCGTTTACATTTGAAAGATTCACTCTTTCTTCTTAAATTCTTTCAGGCAGATATCTTTCAAGAGTACACATTAAAAGAAGATATGGTTATTTTTCAAATTAATCTTACTGTTCTGCTCGACTGCCTGAATATCTTTGGAGGAAGCACAGCAGCAGGTGAAAACTCAGAGACATGACTGGAAAATAATAATTAAAAAAAAACTAAATGTATGACCCCTATTCTATACGTTTTTGTTTTTTTACCTCATACCTTGTTTCAGGAGCATCAACGGCTCTGCGGATGTGCTACATGGGGCATGGTCATCCTCTGACATTGTTCCTGGAGGAGGGTGGTGTAGTGACTGTCTGCAAAATTAACACACAAGAACCAGAAGACCCAATTGATTTTGAGTTCTCCAGTTCCAATGTCACAAACAAGGTTCATCTGGTTTTTATTCTTCAAAAAAACAGCATTTCTTGACTCCTCATAGAACATGTATGAGTAAATTTGTGTTTCTGTCTACTTTCACAGGTCATTCTTCAGTCTGAGAGTCTAAAGGAAGCCTTTTCTGAACTGGACATGACCAGCGAGGTGCTGCAGATCACCATGTCCCCCAGCCAGCCGTACTTCAGGTGGGCTGTGTGAAGTTTTTAAAGTGTTCCATGGTTCATGATAGTGCAGTAAAAATGAAACAGAAAAAAACCTTTCCAATAATTCACATTTCAACTGTTGAGGCAAGTAATGCAATGTAAAATCTATCACTAATTTATTAGGAATTATTCTGTAGTAAAATTTAGTTCCCTGTATTATGTGTATTCCCCTACACAATAACCTCAATATCGTTTCTCGCTGTACTCCTTATTACCTTTAAAAACTGTTATTTTTCATTTCAACTCTACAGGTTGTCCACATTTGGAAACTCTGGAAATGCTCATTATGATTACTCCAAGGATTCAGACATGATGGAGCTTTTTCAGTGCAACAAAACACAAACCAACAGGTGAGTGCAGGCATCAGTGGAAAACTCTCATTCACCACAGAAAAGCAAGAGGTCATCTAATAAAAAAATAATTCAACAGTCACATTTGCTTCTTAAAATTTTGGATACTGGTCTGAGTGGTCATTTTAACTAGGGCCAAGGAATGCCCAACATTTGGACCAAAAATATATTTTTGAAGTGAATTGAGGCAGTTGGTGAAACTTGTTTACATAAGTTCAACAATTAAAAATGCATTTTTATCATTTTAATTAAAGCAATTATTGAACAAAGTTCCACAGTTCCGACCTTCGGTTTTATCCTACTACAGTTACATAAGAGGTAGTTCATTGTTTTTACCACCAGATGTCACTAGAGTCCATGAATTCAACCTTAGACCGTTTTATTCCATTCAGGCGCTTCCAAAACTGTAAACTAAATGATCTGCAGTCATTTATAGTTTGAGTATTCTCACCCTGGATCTCGCAACGCTTAATACAACTTCTGATTTGTTTTCCTCCTGCGACAGATACAAGATGTCCTTACTAAAGCCGTCCACCAAAGCCTTGGCTATATCCTGTAAAGTCTCGGTGAGGACGGACAGCAGGGGCCTTCTTTCTCTGCAGTACCTGGTCAGGAATGACAACGGTCAGATCTGCTTTGTGGAGTATTTTTGTTGTCCTGACGAAGAGGTAGAGGAGGAGTAACAGCTGATTTGTTGTGACCCTAAGCTCCTCAAACTCAGCTGGGACAAATGACTTTATTTGATCACGCAGCCATATAAGGTTGAGCAGGGAATAGAAAAGCTATGGGTAACCTTAGTTCTAGTCTTCTTGAAAGGCTGAAAATGTCAACTATTGGAATTCATATTTCACGTTTTCATCAACAAAATCTTCAGACTTCAATTGAGTAATACAATTTTAAAATTTTAGCACAATTAACTTGCCAATTGCAATTATTTGTGTTTCTTGAAACGTGGAAGATCATTGCTCACTCAGTCCTGTCATGTACCTGTATGGAGTTTTGCCAAAGTCAAACTCAAAAGTTCTGGGTTGAGTAAATTCCATTTATGTTTAATGTGTTAATACGGAAACATTTATGCAGGGATTCACAAGTATCTGTTCATGATTCTTTGTACAGTAAATATTTGACTCATCTGAGTACACTGAGGAAAATGAGTACACATTAAAAGTATATCGGAAAATGATTTTTATTTTTTTTTTCTCCATACAAAACAATTTATATCAAGTTTGGTGTATTTAACAGCATGTATTTTTTTTTTATTAAAAAGGACTGTAAATACTTAAGGTGTGTTGTAAAATAAAGATTTCTAAATTGCCAATTAGTTTCTGCACATTTCACTGAACACAACACGACAAAGAAGAAAAGAAAAAAAAGAGAAAAAAAAAATTAGGATTGTGGCTGCAGCAAATCATCGGCGTCCCCGCTGCATCCGCTCCCTCTTGAAAGCTTTGTGTTTGTTCTTCTTCACCACTTTTGGCGCAGGTGGCTCCGTCTGAATGTGAACAGGTTTCCGTTCATCTGGTGTAACAAAGACGTCAGCCGTCACGTCGTTGTCGATCTCCTCCTTTGCGTCTTGCCTCTTTATTTTCTGAATCTCTTTCACCATCTGCTTCTCTCGCACTTTGGCTGCGGCTGCCAGGCGGATCTCCCGTCTGTGCTGTGGGTGCATGGGGGGGGGAGGGATAAATAAATAAAAAAATGTAGGATTACAACAACGGCTACATGTGCAACGTAAAAAGACAGACTTCTTAAAAGCAGCACCCTGAATATCACACAAGCATCCAGAGCTTCCACACCTTTTGTTTCATTCTGATCTCACTGAAAATTTAGATACCGAGTAGTTCTGCTGTAATAACTTTCAAACCACAGTTTGACAAGTTGGTGCTTATTGGTTGTATACAAAAGGGTGGATGTGACTGTAAAAGTAAGATAGAAACTTGATTAAATATGATTTTTTTTTTTTTTTACCAAGTTTGGAGATCGGAAGTTTGGATTTTCATATAGCGTGGGCCCTCCAAAACTTCCTTGGAAGATCTTTATGAGGTTTAGAACAAATCGTGGGCCGATCTCCACCAGAGAGGCGTCCTCTTCAATTATCTGAAAGAGGGAAAAAAATGAGAGAAATTATTATAAATGGAAATCAAAGCCAGAGAAAAACAAACACTTTGCCTTGTGTAAAAGTGTCTGCTAAAAATGTGCTTTAAGAGTGTAAAACATGGAGGATATATGATGAAAGATCACCTGGTAGTTTCTAAACCATATTCTGTTGTCTGCGATGGAGAAAGTGTAGACATGGTCCACAAAAGGCTGACTCTTCGGATGGTATTGAGGCGTGGAAAATGTCTACAAGAAAGATCATTTCTTTGAAACTGAAAAGAATTCTCCAAACATTGAAAATACATGCATTGGGTAAGAGCTAAGTGCTTAGCACCTCAATTACCTAGTAGTTTAGGTTCCACTTGCTAAACATTTTTTTCATGACAAAATCTTAAGACTTTTCCATACTTATGTTTTTTTTTTTCTCTTTCAAAGCTAATTTCTTTTAAAAGAAAAAAACAAAACATGTAGTAAATATTGTGCCTCGGTCTGCTTTACATATAAAACCTGCAAAAACAACGGAGGTTTGATTGACTTAAGAACTAAACACAACTAAACTGGAAAAAAAAAATGAATTAAAAAAATAGATGGATGGATGGAGTAAATTAAATTAAATTAAGGAATGGACAGATGACTGGATTCCACTGGTTTGAATCTTACATAAAGAACAGGGATTTCTTTGTTTCAATCGGAAACTTCTAATCAGTCACATGTGGGGTACCCCAAGGTTCTATCCTAGGACCACTTCTTTTCAATATTTATATGCTCCCACTGGCTCAGGTTATAGCAGAAAATAGGATTAGCTATCATAACTACGTGGATGATACACAGCTCTACGTCACGATGTCACCAGGTGACTCTGAACCCATCCAATCACTGAACAGATGCTTA